TGACCCCACATTTCTCCTCATAGAGCCCAGCCTCCCGGATAATCTGTTCTGCATATAGGTTGCAAAGGTATGGAGATAGGATGCATCCCTGGCGTACGCCCTTCCCAATTTTGAGCCATGCAGTGTTCCACTGAATAGTGAAGTTTAAGGGTTGCAAACCACTTATGTTAGTAGTGCTAGTGCTGAAATGATAAAGTGCACTAGACCTATCATTGTGTCCAACAGATCAATTTCTCCTAATCACAAATTTAATCATCATTGATACTCTTGAATCCTGCAGGGGAAAAAGGTAAAAATAGATGAAGTTCTTTTAAATACATTTTCCTTCTTATACAATGTGGGCATAGCTGATGAAGAATGCACGCAGTCACTCAAGAAATTAGTTTGACTTTAAACACAAGACTTTACATGAGAACTTAACACGAGGATTAAGTTGACATACTCAGGAAAGAGAAATTTCATTCATGGAGGTAGTATGATTTCTTAATAGAAGAGAAATACAACGATATTTCTAAACGGTTTAAACATATTCCTAGCTTTAATGATCACAAATTGCACAACAGAATGCTCATTTTCATCCTTAAAGAGGTATTCTTTTTGTCGAAAACATGGTATACAGTAAAATATCTTAAAACCTTGTTGTTGTTAGGTGTCGTCGAGTTGTAGACGACTCATAGCGACCCTATGAACAAAAGACCTGATCACTGTTCATAGAGTTTCCAGAGGCAAGCCATTTCAGAAGTGGATGCCACTCCTGCTTCCAAGCTTGTTTTAATTGGGAAGCTCCACTATCCACCATGGGTAACCATTATCACATTTGGCACATCAGTGTCAGTGTTTAGCATCACAGCAACCACGTGTTACCTCTGTACAGCAAACGGACAGACCAGTGTTATACAACAACATTAATACCTTGACAATCAATAAACATTTTATAATCCAGTTTCTTTGCATTCCGCTAAGATGGCATACACTACTTTCGTTTTTAGTTGCTAATATCTCAATGTTGTGGGGTCAATTATGACCCTCCATTAGGTTTCTGAAGTTGTAAAGTTTTAAAGGAGGAGACTGCCCATCTTTTTCCTGTGGATCTGAACGAATGACCTTTTGATTAGCAGCTCTGTACATTATGCAACATGTCAGATTCATGTTAATATTGCAGTCACATTTAAAAAGTTGTTACTTTGATCTGGCAGGGATCTAGAAAGACAGGGTAATGGTGGCATAGTTCAATGGTGATTAATTTTATAAAACATAATGAATGGAACTGATTGTATGAAACACAATGTGAATGAAGGATAGTGTGAAAGACAAACTACATGAACTTTGTAAGCAAACTAACATAAAAAAAAAGAAAAAAAAGTTGTTGCATCATGGATATTGATGGCACATGCATATACCTCAGTGTGTGTGTGCGCGCCTTTAACTCACATAGCCCATTCCGATGGATGAGTTAACAAAGGAGAAGACATTATAGGTGTTAAGTGTTTAAGCTCCTCACATGCCTTCCTCTGATCCTGCGATTCATCTCTTACTCCTGCGTCTCCCATCAGCAAGTTCAGCGCATTCCACATTTTTCATTAGCTTTTCTTTGCCCCACCATCTCTATTACCTACTGTAATCTTGACCAACCTTCAATGTTACTTTTTTTCTAATGGATTTATCCTTTTGCAGCTACAGTTACCTTGCTAAAAATGATATAAACTATGCTGCTTCCTTAATCTTATTTTATAAGATACAACACAAACCTCAGTTCTTTCAGTGCACCCCTCTCAATCTGCATTTTTCATATACTTGTTTCCATTGCTTTGGAGAGTCTCTATCTTCAACATTTCGTCTGCTGAGGACCACTTCAAATCTGAGATCTCCACTTAAATGACATGTCCTTATGGAGGTCTTTCCTGACTCCCTCAACTAAGTTTGGATGCTGTGCCCTGAGATTCCCTAACATAACATTCATTGTTCTTTGTTAATTTATCAGCATGCTCAGAAAGCAGGGCTCTGTTTATTCACTGTCATGGCCCCAATATCCAGCAGTCTCAAAACGCTGCAGGCATTTAAAAAGAAACACAAAAAAACCCAACCAAAAAACTGCCAAATAAATAAACAAATAGAAACAAACCATTAAAAACAAGAGTCTTTTTATCTAAAATAGTATAGGAATATTTGATAAAGATTTTCTTTAAAAACAGAAGGGCACTATTTCACAGAACTCCTAAGAATAAAACTGACATTTTAAGTAATACTGCAAAATGTTACATTATTATGACTTGATGGCCTCTTGTGTCTTTTATATAGTTTCCAGGCCTGAAATGTGAATGGGAAATTCTATTACTTTTGGAGACATCAGTTTCTATATGAAAGTACTAATATTAAAAAAATACAGCCTAAAGGAAGGCTAGGTCCCTAAGTAAGAAACTGATCAATGTTCTTGAGTTTAAGACAAACATACGCAAGGAACACATTTAAAGTAATACTAGAAAAATACTAAAAATCATTACTGTTTAATAAATTGATCTACGAGAGAAGAGAGAAGACACTACAGATCTTCTGTGAAGGATGACTTGAATACATGCTCAGTTGTGCTTCATTTTTTTTTCCCCTAAAGGAAAGCAGCTGGCCTTACAATAAAGAGAAAAGGTATTGATAACTAGTCTTTAAAAAAAGTCTCTGAAATGTTCATTCAAGGACGGTATTCATTCTTTATTCAGTGCCTGGTTGTCAGGCTTGAAAGCAAGAGATTACTGATGCATTCCACAGCCAAGTCATGGAGAACATAAAGAAATTTGTTCTTAGTACAGCAATGAATAAAGAGAGGAAAAGGCTTATTTTTATATTACAAGGGCGCTATGCATTGCATTTTGCGGCATTATTTCTAATCATTATAGCTACAAGACACAATTTAGAAATATAATTTGATATCTATTTTCAACCATTCAATACAACAAAACTATTTCTTGAAATCATGACAGTGTATAATTAATATCTCATATTGCATTTCATTTTAAAAAATTCAGCAGATATTAAGAGATCATAGATTTTAAAAAGGATTTCTT